GGAAACAGAAGGGAAATTCTCTACATATGGAGAATGAGGAACATTTCATATGATATGATTTTGTCTAAATCAGAAAAAGTTTAAGGAAACACAAAGTACTCCCTGTAGTCCTCCTGGCCATTAACTCAACAAGGCTCACATGTGTACCCATGTAGTGCTGCTTCTACAGCATTGTTCAAAAATGACTTTTTTTTTTTTTTGCCTTCCAACAGTCACAGGAACAATTACATATCCATAGCTAATAGAAGTATTGCCAGTATACCCTTCAAAAAGGTAAATTTCCTACATAGAGGTCTACCAAGAGGTGTTTTCCGAATCAAAGTGAGACAACTGTTAACTTCCTGTGCTGAAAGATAGGTGTAGGGCGTATTAAAGCAAGCTGCAGGGGTTTGGTTCTTGTTAACCACTCCTGCCTCCTGGGGTTGTGCCCCATGGGTATATTTTGAGCTGCTAGACCCAAAGTAAATAATTTTATTTATCATCTTCTTTATATACTGGCTTGAAGCGTAAAATTGGAAGTTAAAAATAAATTACATTGCAAGCAGTTTATCCTTCTTAACTGATAATTGTTATTTTCCATATACTTTGCAGTTCTTGAAATACTAGACTGAGTCTTATTTACTGTAAAAGTAGTAAAGAGATTCTAATTAAATTTTTGTTCTGGCTAGAAATTATTAAAACTAAATTTCACAGAATGAGTCCTTAGAAAGAACCCTAGGTCACTGAGATGACTGATCAAGGAGCAATAGCATTATAATCTGATGAACTTTTCAACGAATTTCTCCTGGCCATTTGATTGGATAGTTTTGAGGCAGCATCTAGGCATGTTTTCATAAGTTCCTGGGCAGTGATTCTGATCTACATCCAGAGTGAAGAACTATGGAAGCCCATCATCTTACTGTGTCTAGTGAGGCCCAAAGACGTGAACTGGTTTGCCCAGAGACTGCTGAAGGCAGATCCCAGGACAGATTCCGGTCTCCAGCCTGCAGTTCCACGGCTTTTTCCACTTTATCGAAGTTTCTTCCTAACTTGCATGTTTACACTAATACTGGAAAGCCCTCTTTTCTGACCTGTTTCAAAATTGTGAGATTGTGGTTATGTGAAATGCTTACAGATTCTAGCTGCAATATTTTGTAAGTAACTTTAAAATGGGAACTGAACATAGTAATTTTTTTTAACCCCCAAGCAATGTTTACTCTTATTATAAGCACTCAATAAGTATTTATTTAATGAGTAATTTTATTTTTGAATAATGTAGATCTAGTGCCACACACACTTGCTTCATGAGCAATGTTCAATATTTATTGAGTAATGTTAATCTTTAGGGAAGTCTTTATAATTTTAGGTAGGACTTCCATTTTCACATAATTTCTGTATAATTTTTATAATTTAGAATGCTTTTTATTTTTTCAGAATAAATTTTTTAGTGTTACAAAGCACAGTAGCTTCTGAAAATAAGATTGTGTTTGAGTAGTGAAAAGAATAATGGACTTAATGTAAGACCAAATTACATCACTACCTTGGGCTTATTTTCCTCCATCTGTAAATAACCGATTTGGGCTAGATTTCAACTCTAAAATTATGAATATACCCAATTGGCTGTGTTTCTCTGGAGGTCATTGAGTAATACAATCTTTTTGTCTTTATTTCTTATGAAATATGTAATGTAAATGTTGGTAACGCTAAGAGGTATGAAGAAATAATCAGGAGCTAGGTGACTAGAGAGTGATAGGAAGTGCCATTTCAGATAGAGAGTAGTCTGGGAAGGCCTTTCTGAATAGATGACATTGGGACAGGGTTCTGAAGAAACTGAGGGAATGAGTCATATGGATATCTTAGGGGCAGAGGGAAATGCAAGTTTATAACAGCTTTATTCATAATAAGTCAAAATTGGAAGCAATCCAAATGTCCATCACCTGGTAAATGAATAAATAACTTATGGTACATGTATTTAATAGAATACTTGCCAGCAATAAATAGCAACAAATTACTGATATACAAAACAGCATAGGTATATCTGAAAAGCTTTATGCTACACGAAAAAAAAAAATCCAGCTGTCAAAGAATACACTTTATGATTCCATTATTTTGACATTCTAGAAAAAGAACAGAACAGCTCAGTCGAGAAGGGGATGGGGGGCGGGGCGGTGAGAGTATTTTCTATACAGGGCACATAGAAACTTGGGAGTGATGGAAATGTTCTCTATCTGAATTGTGATGGTATTTACACAATCTGTTACTCATTTGTCAAAATTCAAACTATACATTCATATTTACCTTATGTATATTATACTTTTTTAAATATTTAATAGGCTTTTAAAAACCCTTTGTAAAAATGTAATATGAAGTAAACTTGGTATCCATTGAAGATATACCTTAGTTTCTATCTTGTGACTTTCACTTCTCTTTGGCATTTCATATCTGTTACTTATTCATTTGTCAAAATTTAAACTATACATTCAGAAAGGGCAAAACTTACTGTATAGAAATTATACCTCGCCCTAACTGGTTTGGCTCAGTGGATAGAGCGTCGGCCTGCGGACTCAAGGGTCCCAGGTTTGATTCCGGTCAAGGACATGTACCTTGGTTGCGGGCACATCCCCAGTAGGGGGTGTGCAGGAGGCAGCTGATCGATGTTTCTAACACTCTATCCTCTCCCTTCCTCTCTGTAAAATAATCAATAAAATATATTAAAAAAGAAATTATACCTTATTAAATATTAAATAGGCTTTTAAAAATCCTTTATTTAAAGTAATATGAAGTAAACCTGATACCCATTGAAGATAGGCCTTTGATTCTGTCTTGTCACTTTCTATTGTCGTTGGTGACAGAAGTACCTCTGTTCCTATTTGGGAAGCATGGGGCTAAGAAAATTCTCATAGATAGTTAATTATGATAATTATGATAGTTAATTCATGAACAATTCCAGCTGTAAAGAAAGGTTTCCTAACATAAATTGTGTTAGTCCTGAAAGCAATAGTTCCTTGAGAAACACAGGTAAACAATGCTCTAATTACAAACTAAAACCAAAATATATCATTTACTACGATCAGGATACAGTTTCATGTGATGTGAGAAGTGAACTTGAAATTTGTCAATGTCAGAAACTAAACCTGAGCAAGCTATTGCCGTATTTCATCAAAAGTTCAGTAACTATTTTCTTTCCATCTTTTCATCATCATCTAAATTTTCTTTATTCCAACTGGCAAGGGAAAATCACCAGTCTCTTCCTTGCCCAAATCCCTAAAGTGATAAATGAAAGTCTAACAAAAAGATACAGTTGCTCAAGACTTAAAAATAATAAAGAAACAACAACAGCAACAAAAACCCAACTAAGTTAGCACATGAGCAAAGACAGAAAAGATCGAAAAAATATCCATCTCCCTTTATTAATAGGCTGCATTACCAAAAATTACTCTTTAAAAATTTGTTAACATGACTGTGTTGCTATCTTCCAAATAACATTAAGGATTCTAACAGGAAAGACAGATGCTTAGTTATCACTTAATAAGCTCATTGAGAGCAGTGTATCCAGATGTCGGGATACTTGAAATATACACTTTGTTGCCATCACTTCTTTTCTTCTTCTTCTTGCCATAGCATTAAGTTGGAAAGAAGGTAATGACTTTGGCTAGGCTTTATAGTGTCTGCAACGCCTATCCATACAAAACATTTAACCCAGTTGGAGAATCCTGCTTAAGAGCTGTCTTAAACTATATGGTTGTATTAGGATATGTAGATATCCTAATACACTGGCCTTTTCAACTTAAGGCTGCTTTTTAACCATTTGTTTCCCCTACTGGGTTAATAACCTAGAAGTGGAACTATTTCCTCAGTTTAATTATTTTAAAAAACCGTTTACTTGTATAAAAGCAAACAAACAAACACCCCCAAACCTGTTACCCTGGCCAGTGTGGCTCAGTTGGTTGAGCCTCATCCTGTCTCCAGAAGGTCATCATTTTCCTGGTCAGGGCACATATGCTGGTTGTGGGTTACAGGAGGCAACCTATGTGTCTCTCCCACATTGATGTTTCTCGCTCTCTCCCTCCCTCTCCCTTTCTGTCTCTAAAAATTAAAAAAACCAAGGGAGTGAGGCATATGGATAATTTTCTGTCTGTCTTTCAATTAAAAAAAAAACATTCAAAAAACACACACACCAAAAAAACTGTCAAAGTATTTTTTAAAGTGGTTGTACAACTCACTTACCTAGCAGCAGTGCATGAGAATTCTAGTTACTTCACATCTTTCCCAGTGCTTGGTATTGTTTCTTTTAAATGCTAGACATTAGTAACTGTGTAATCCTATATAATACAAGCCTAATATGCAAATTGACTGAATGGCATAAAGACCGGTGGGTGGGGGCTGGGCCAGTGAGCAGGCAGCACCAGGCCCCCAAGGTGGGTGTCAGTGGACAGAGGGAGGGGATGGCGATCAGCATCAGGGGGTGAAGGGGGTGGAGGCAGCTACCAGTGGGGGCGGAGGGGTAATGAGGTGTGGGGCCGGCTGCTTGCTGGCAGGGGCCATCCCCCCCAAATGACCTGTTGGTCTCCTCCTGCAGAGGGAGGCCAGACTGCGGCTTAGGCCCGCTCCCTGCTCCTCTGACATTGGGGGATCTTTTGTGGAAAGTTTGAGAAATACTAAATCTTAGGCCAAGCAAAAAACAAAGACCAAAACATACACCTTAAAACAATGGTGTATCTTCAATGAAATAGACACCTGTAGGTTGGCTACTCATTACCAAACCCCTTTCTTGTCTACCTTTATAGAGAGAATCCTGGAAAAGGCAAATCCAGTTGACTCTTGTTATTGACAGTAGTTGGGTTCTCTAAAGTTGCCAGAAACACTGTACCATTGTTGTAGGGCAAATATGTAAACACACACACACACACACACACACACACACACACACACACACTGATACCTCACAGGGACATAATCTTAAATCCTAAAAACATCTTAGTATTTTTTTTTTTTTTTTTTTAACAGAAGAGAAAACAAGGTTTAAAATGTGAACTCACTTTCCTGGAACCACCCACTAACAGGTCCCAGAGTTGAGACTCAAACACCATCCAACCGGCCCTCGAGCAGGATCTTTTTGCACTGTAGTGTTCTGTCCTCTGGAGTGTCCATCCTCTGGTCACCTCTGTATGAGAGCTGAAACTCGAAGGCAGATTCTCACCTTGTTAGACTTCAGCTGGGAAAATGTCCGTTGGGTAACTCAAATTTTTTGCCACTCTGCACATGTCCATGAGTGATCATGAAAACACATTGCTTTGGGGATTACCAATAAATTTTAGTGAGTAGATGAATTTATAAATACAGAATTTGTGAATAATGGGGTTCAACTGCATTTGCTTTTCCAATCTCCCTAATAGAGGTCGGAAGGTAACTGAGTTCTAGTTAATGAGAAGTAGGTAAAACTGTTATGGATTATAACTTTTCCATAAAAGGTGAAATGACAAGTGCTGCATCACCTTTCCTTTCTCATTTGAATGTTGATATGAGTTCGGAAGCGTGGCAGTAGTCCTCTGACAACTAGGTGACAAGCATGAGGATGGAAAGCAGAACTGGAAGGTGGAAAAATCGTGCTCATTGATTGTACCTGATGAGTGCCTAACCCCATCCTAACAGTCACCTACCTTCAATCATTTTAATTGAGAGAGAATAACTCCCTGCCCATTTAATCCACTGTTGATTAGACTTTTTATTATTTGGAACAGAATGCATTCTTAATTGATATAGACAATAATTCCATTTTTAAAAATATACATTTTTATTGATTTCAGAAAGGAAGGGAGAGAGACGACGCATCAATGATGAGAGAGAATCAATCATTGATCAGCTGCCTCCTACATGTTCCACACTGGGGTTTTAGCCCACAACCCTGGGTAACTCAAACCCTGGTATATGCCCTGACTGGGAATTGAACCATGACCTCCTGGTTCCTGGGTCGATGCTCAACCACTGAGCCATGCAATAATTCAAGTTTTATGTAGTTTTTTTTTTCTTTTTTGAAACATGGGATTTTAATGTACTTATTGGTGGTTAATTATGCTCACCACTTTAGGTATTTGATATTTATGTACAGTATTAGATAAAAATTTATTTTACCTGGCTTTATTCATGACCAGGTTTAGGTAATACTTGCCTAAAGTTTAGTGTAGTATTTTACCATATGTCTCTGTATCATCACAAACTACAAAGCAATTAGTAGTGACATGAATTGTACCAACCTGAACTTTGGTTTGGGTGGCATTATTACTTTGAGTTATTAATAATGCAGTTTAAAGCTTACTGTTTCTTCTTATGTCTGTAGTTCACCCAGAAAGACTGGAAATATTGGGAGTAGCGCTCAACAGTTTTGTTAATCACCAATTTAGATATGTAATCTTCCTCACTTCTCTTCCAGTATAAATATCATTCTGTAATTTCTTAGGTCAGCAAAAGACTTTGACACATCAGTTGTTCCTGTACCCTACTTTCAGGCAGCTATCAAAATAAGAAAGTAATTTCCAGTTCATAACCTAAACATCTCCAATGGTGAAGACAGTCTTTGGAATACATCCAGTCTTTTTCTCCCTGGTGATTAAGTAATCTTATGTTTGAGTGAAATCTCTTCTGCCCATAGTTTCCCCTTATTTGATTATTCAGTACAGGTATTTCATTATTCTTGTTATAAAAATAATTTGTGTAGTACTTATCACTATGGAAAAGCCTCCTCAATAAGCATCAAGGGACTTGGGACTGTTGCTGGATTTGTCCTTTGAACTACCTGTCAAGTCTTCAGATAGATTGTGAACCCAAAAGGTCATAACTTACTCAACCTCTAGCACAGGGCCTTATAAATAGTTTCATAGCCATTTGTTGAATCGAATTATCTAATGTTTTGTTTTGATTTTTAGAAAGTCTCATTTTATGGTGAAGTCACTTAATATGAAGTTATTTTGGAAAATTATATGATTGTTTATAAATATGTGGAATTAAGACCCTGTTAGTTTTCTGTAGGGTTGGGAAAAATAAAAATATCCATGCCCTTTAAAAGTAAACTATAGTGTTACCTTTTTGTTTTTTGTTTTTTTAAAGCATATTCTGAAGAGTTACACTCATTCCTGTATATTTTCATGGGATACTGTGGTTGTTATTAAACCTTCAAGGTAATCTCTGAGATACAAAATAAACAAAGACTTTTTTTTCCCACAGCAAGTCTTCAAATAAAAAGCTAAAGTTTTGCTCACATTAAAAAACAAACAAACCAGAAACAAAAGGCATCATTTTTTTTTTTTTTTACACATAATCTTTTTTTTTTTTTAAATGTATTTTATTGATTTTTTTACAGAGAGGAAGGGAGAGAGATAGAGAGTTAGAAACATCGATGAGAGAGAAACATTGATCAGCTGCCTCCTGCACATCCCCCACTGGGGATGTGCCCGCAACCCAGGTACATGCCCTTGACCGGAATCGAACCTGGGACCTTAACCTTGCTGGCTTTGCAATCTTGTTGGGTGATAAAGACATTTTAGTGAAATAGTAAATAAACCGAGCTTAAATTAAGTAGTTTAAAATAAAGTGTCTACTTGTGTGATGTTGAAAAAGCCCTGAGAGGTATGCTAGGTCCTCATTGCTGTAATATTTAGTGATTGCCAGTTGTGATTAAGGCATCGAGACAGGCTTTGAATGGAGAGGAAGGGTAAGTGAAGCCAGACACAATTCCTGTCTTCATGGAATTCTTCTGTCAATCAAGTATACTGGCCTTTGGCAGGATGATGCTTCCAAATGTGCTTTTAAAAATGTTGTTTTTGAAGATCCCACCCACATTTTGTTGTAGAAAAGGGAAAATGCAATAGGATTTTAGACAATAGAGAGCCTTCTCTTCTGCCTGTACTTTTAGAAACTTCTGTTCTGGAAGAGTATTGCCCTGCAATAGAATTTGGGTCTCTTGGAGTGAGGTGGAGTCAACCCCAAGTAATCTAACAGGGCCCAGGTAATGCTTCCGTCTGGACACTGTAGTTTGTCAGTTACACCATTACCCTATTCTATAGGCAGGAAAATTTATGGACTGGCTAAAGACTGTTACAGGCAGAACTTCTTATCAAGACCTAGAGTAGAACCTTTTGGTATCTAGATTTTTCCTTTTATAATGAAAGCATTATATCTCCGTACTACAATTATACTTCCTTTGTTTCTATTGATAGTTTACAGTTTCATTTATTTTTTCCTTTGTACTTATTTCTTATTCTAGTTTTCTCATTTAAACATACAAATTTTACAGATTTTTGTTTCAATTCAGTATTCATTTCAGGCAGTTAGGAAACTCACCATAATTCACTTACATATAAAAAAATGTTTTTACCAGCTAAAACAATATTTTTAGTTTCAGATTTTGCTATGCTTGCAGGATCTATGTGTGTTGTGCTCATTCATTTTTATGGAAAATCTTTACATCTATAGACTGTAGACATAGTACTTATATTTTTGGTCACCTAATTTTAGAGTAATTTTCAAAAAAACATTTGGTCATGCATTTAAAATGTTTTCTCTTCTGCCTCGAAGCCCTACTGTTGTTGGGCGATTCCTCTGAATATTTGCCACAGATCTATCTTTTTGTAAACTCTCTTTTAATATACCAGAAAAATTTAACTGCCTTTTTAGGAGACCTGCCTCATACTAACAATTTTTTAAAATAAGCAATATAGTGAGTTTGTATTTGAATTGACAAGAACATAAAATGAGTCATATCCCAGCCTGCCAAATGGCTGTTTAAGAGAAACACATTGGCATACTTACCAGTGATCTTGGTTTTAACTACCATGTTTTATAATTGCCCTTATGGAACCTACATTTCAAGTGATATTTTATTTATCTGATGACTAAACATAAATTAATCACTTGGACCCAAATTTCTGTTTTTAAAAACTAGAACTACTTTTTGGGATGTTGGACCATTGTGTGTGTGTGTGTGTATTTAAACTGTGGCTTCTGGTTTCTACTCAAAGAAAAAAAAACTTTAATAAATGCTGTTTGAAAATTTCTAAGAAAAGTGATATGTATTAATATTTTATTCTTATATTTCTGAAACAAACAGAAAATAAAATAAGAGCTACACAAACCAACCAACAGAAAACTTAAGAAAAATCTATGTAAATATGGATCTCAGTGCTACACAAAAAAAGAATTAAAATACTTGAACTAAAAAATTACAAATTTTTGATAGAGTTGTGTAGAAACTAAAGAGTTATTGTCTGCTTGAAACATGGAAACACTGAATGTTCAGAAGCTTCGTAGATGAGTTGTGGCTTATGGGTGAGTCTGCATCAGTGTAGCGAGGCTCCAGGACTCTTGTCTCTGAAGAAAGTGTGATGTTTGCCTATTGGGTGAAGCTAATTATGGCAGCAGATCTAGCTATGATCCTTTCCTTGGGATGAAACTTTGATCTGCACTTCAGATATTTGATGGATTTCATTATTTTGGAGCCTTAGACGCGTTAGGCAGCTGATAAATAATTTGGAATTCTGACTTCATGAGTAGTCTGAGCAGGTGCATTCAAACATGCCCAGTAGTCTTTCATCTCTGCAAAGGTAGATTCAAAGTCACTGCATCTAGTATTGTTCTGCATCATAGGAAAATGGGCCTGTTGCATTGCGAACAAGTGGAGCAATCTTGCATATTGTCATACTATCCTTGAATGGTAGAGCTTGACCACCTGTAAAGATAATTGGAGAACTGGACAGTTTGCTCATGCCCTTCATTGGGAGTGCGAGAGTATGACTGTGGAGGCAGGACCCCAACACAAGTGCATAAATTTTTTGACATACCCATATAGATTATGGAACACAGCAATAGAGATGTGCAGTCAGTTGAATTGAGGCATAGGATTTGAGCCCTTTTGCTCTCTCTAGTTTCTTTAATCAGTTAACCACTTTTCCTAGTGACTAGTAGTGGTGGGATATCTGTTGTTGTTTTCCTATTATCTACATACTAGAGGCCCGGTGCACAAAAATTTGTGCACTCGGGGGGGGGGGGGGCTCCCTCAGCCCGGCCTGTGCCCTCTCGCAGTTTGGGACCCCTGGGGAGATAATGACCTACTGGCTTAGGCCTACTCCCGGGTGGCAGAGGGCAGGCCCAATCCCTAGGTGCAGCCCCTGTTCGGGCTCAGAGCAGGGCCGATTGGGGAGTTGGGGCGCTGCCCCCTGTCATGCACAGAGCAGGGCGGATCAGGAGGTTGCGATGCCACCCCTAGTCACGCTCAGGGTACGGCCGATTGGGGGGTTGGGGCACCACCCCATCACACTCAAGGCAGGGTCAATAGGGAAGTTGCGGCGCCACCCCCTGTCACGCACAGAGCAGGGCCGATCAGGAGGTTGGGGCACTGGCCCCTGTCATGCACAGAGCAGGGCCCATCAGGGAGTTGAGGAGCTCCCCCCGTCACACACAGAGCAGGGCCGATCGATCAGGGGGTTGAGGAGCTCCCCCTGTCACGCACAGAGCAGGGCCGATCAGGGGGTTGAAGAGCTCCCTCCTGTCACTCACAGAGTAGGGCTGATAGGGGAGTTGGGGCACCGCCCCCTGTCACACACAGAGCAGGGCGGATCAGGGGGTTGGGGCGCTGCTCTCTATCACCCACAGAGCAGGGCCAATCGGGGGGTTGGGGCGCCGCCACTGTCACACTCAGGGCAGGGCCGATGGGGAGGTTATGGCTCTACCCTGTCACACACAGAGCAGGGCCCGTGGGGGCGGGGTGGAGTTGGGGCGCCGCACCCTGTCACACACAGAGCAGAGCCGATCAGGGGGTTGGGGCGCTGCCACTGTCACACACAGAGCAGGGCTGATCAGGGGGTTGGGGCACTGCACCCTGTCACCCACAGAGCAGGGCCGATCAGGGGGTTAGGGCGCTGCACCCTGTCACACACAGAGCTGCAGGGCGATCAGGGGGTTGGGGAGCTCCCCCCTATCAGGCACAGAGCAGGGCTGATCAGGGGGTTGGGGCACCTTCCCCTGTCAGGAACAGAGCAGGGTGGATAGGGAGGTTGTGGCCCCGCCCCCTGTCACACACAGAGCCACATGGTTGGGGGCCAGCTGGTTTGCCCTGAAGGGTGTCCTGGATCAGGGTGGGGGTCCCCACTGGGGTGCCTGGCCAGTCTGGGTGAGGGGCTGAGGGCCGTTTTCAGACTGGCGAGTGATTGAAGCTCCCAACTGCTCCTTTTTTTCTTTTTTTTTTTTTTTATTCTGGGCCAGCTTTAGCTCTGAGGCTCGGCTCCAGTCTGAGGCCTCCGCTGCTGAAAGCAGGTTTCTGGCCTTTGTTTACCTTCTGTATTTGAAACAATGTTGCGGTCCTGCTGGGTGAAGCCTGGCGGATTAAAGCAGGTTTCTGGGGTTTTGTTTAGCTTCTATATTTGTTACAATGTTTCAAACTGCAAGCTCAGAGGCCAGCAAGGCAGGCGGGGAATGTTGGAGTCCTCCATCACTGAAGCAAGCAAGCCTCATGTTCGCTTCCAGCTGCCTGGCTGCCGGCCGCCATCTTGGCTGGCAGTTAATTTGCATATCACCCTGATTAGCCAATGGGAAGGGTAGCGGACTTACGGCTAATTACCATGTTTCTCTTTTATTAGATAGGATTCTTAGTGCCAAGAGCTGTATAATGTGTTTGTATCAGGATATGACCTCTGGCTTTGCACCTATATAACATAAAACAGGTGAGTCAGTACAATGGGAAATAGGAATATTTCTGAAGGCTATTTCTATACCATGACAACTAGCAAGAACCATTTAAGGACTTGGTAGTTAACCATTAAATTTATCACATTAACCTCAATCTAAAGGTATCCTGAATTCATCCTTTTCTTAACAGTATTCCAAAACTGCCTTCAGTTACAATAGTCACCCAACAAGAGGGAAATGTGATGGAGGGAACTCCGTATAGAAAAAGACAGCTTTCTTCACTGACTGTAATGACAGTACTTTATTTTAGATGATTTTTTATAAAACTATGTGACCATGAATCCTATATCTCTCCAGGGCCATGGAAAGGGCCAAATGAGGAGACCTGAAGCTTAACCTCATTAACTTCATGGTAAATCCACTTATATGTGTTTGTTAAAAGTACATGTAAAATAAACATCAGAATTATTACAGGATCAAGAAAACAATACAGACAGATAAAACAATATGAGTTTATCAGTATAGTATTGTGAATATTGAGCTGCTTTCTATTATTTATGTATATATAGATTGCTGAATAAGCTATGTGTAAAGGCTCTGAATTGACTTAAAAAATATATATATTTTTATTGATTTAAGAGAGGAAGGGAGGGTGGGGAGAGAGAGAAACATCAATGGTAAGAGAGAATCACTGCTTGGCTACCTCCTGCATGCCCCACACTGGGATTGAGCCCTCAACCGGGCATGTGCCCTGACTGCCCTGACCACCCTGACCGGGAATAGAACCGCGACATCCTGGTTCACAGGTTGACACTCAACCACTGGGCTGTGCCGGCCAGGCTGAACTGATTTTTAATTTAAAACTAGTATGTTTAATCTTCACTCAGGCATATGTTGGGCCCTATCGGGATTACAACTATAATTCATATCTGCAGGGTGTTCATACATCTTGTTGGGATAATCAGATATACATACATGGAATGATTTAAGATATGCATGTGTAAGATAAATATAAATATTGTTATATCTAATAGCTGTGTATGTATTGTATATGAGAATCATGCTATCCTCACAACAACTCTCTGAACTACCCCCAAGAGAAGTCATTTTATAGCTACAGAAATAAAATTAGCAAATAAATCTTGGTTCTAGGATCAAGATCTGTGTCACTTGACTATCTTTTTTCTTTAAAATTTTGAAGTTTTCTTCCTCTTTTGTAAATAATGAAACACTTTTTATCGTACTGTGTTTCATAAAGTGTAAAGTGGTTTCCTATGGCCATGGCAACAAAGCACTACAAACTGAGTGGCTTAAAGCAAGAGAATATTTTTGTCTGTTCCAGAGACTAAAAGTCCTAAATCCAGGTGTGAGCAGGCTTGGTTCCTTCTGAGGGCACTGAGCAAAATGGCCCTTCCTTCTCTTCTAGCTTCTGGAGATTGCTGGCAATTGCTGGGAAAGGTTTGATTTTAGACCACACCATCTCTGCCTCCATCTTCACATGGTATTCTCCCTATATCTCTGTCTTCACATGGTCATCTTCTGTTAATAACGGTTTCATCTTCACGTGGTGTCTTCCTTATGCCTTCACATGGCCATATTATGATTCCAGTCATATTGGATTTGGTTGGGGCACATCCTACTGCAGTATGACATTCTCTTACTTTATTACATCTATAATAACCCTTTTTCTAAATAAGATTACATTGTGAGGTACTAGGGTTTAGGACTTCAACATATATTTTGGCAGATTATCGTTTGATAAATCTCATTTTCCTCTTTGAAATTCTGCCAATAAATAGATTAAAGAAAAGCAATTCCGCATATAGCCACAGCAGCCATACTATTTTCAGTGAGGCATTTAACCACTTGCTAACTGGTGGTGTGCCTTTGAGAAGCAAGTGAGATGATACTTCTTAAAATGTTACTTGCTACGGGGTTGGGGGGAGTGGGGCGGGGAAGGGAGTTGGCTGGAAGAGGTTAATGGGGGCGGGGGAAAGGAGGACCTCTGTAATACTTTAAACAATAAAGACTTTTTAAAAAAATGTTACTTGCTGTGGCCACTGTGGCTCAGTTGCTTGGAGCCTTGTCCTGTGCACCAAGAGGTTACCGGTTCAATTCCTGGTCAGGGCACACCTAGGTTGCAGGCTCAAACCCTGGTAGGGGGCTTGCAGGAGGCAGTCCATTGATGTGCTGCTCGTTTCTCTCTCCCCCTCCTTTCCCCTCTCTCTAAGAATCAATAAAAAATAATTTTTAAAAAGTTACTACGTGTTTTTTTTAGTTTGTTTTTCCTAATGAAACATTAGGCACTTTTCATTTTATTGAGGCTTTAACTTTATTGGTATGTAGTTATGGAGGAGCTGATTTCAATGCAAAGTCCTTTTTGAAGTGTTCCATATAGGTTAGGATTAGAATTCTTAATGAGGCAAGTTTTAATGGTATTATGGCAAATGAATTTCAAAAGAATTTTAGATAAAAGTTATGGAACCACCTTAGATACATAAATGTGTACACTGTAGAAAGTAATTGAGAAAGGATACTTGGAGGATTTCTTATTTGATAATCATTGATAAAGCAAGAAAAATATATAGGTTAATAACAAATATTGTAGATCAGGGTTTGGGGTTAAAAGTATGGTTAAGGGTTGAATTTCTAAAATACTTACATTAATTTACAAACATTGCAGTTTTAGATATATAATTTCTAGAATGCTGATCATGATATGAACATGATTTTTACCCTTGATTGACTATTAGAATTACCTAAAGTGTTGTTTTGAAAATATTGATGCCTGGGCTCCTACTCAGACTAATTGTCTCTTGTCAAGATCATAAAATTGTTAATTTTTTTGGTGGATTGATGAATACTGCATAGCTGGCATTGATTTAAACATTTTTAGAAGCAAAGATTCTAGAACAGAAATGGGAAAGAAAAGGGAGATGTATTTTGAAATGTATTCCAGTCACTGAGCCCCATGCCTTTAAATGTGGTAGCAAAGGTTATCTGAAAAAGTGTTTGCATTGAACTTTTTGACCATTCTAGAATTCAGGAAGGATGCAACAGTTTTGTTAGTTAAAAAAAAAAAAATACTATACAAATGTGAGGATGTCTGCAGAAATTATTTTGTCATCCTGTGATAAGAATAAGGCCAGGTGGCTCTATTCTGTGGCTTAGGATGTGGGTTTCTTTGATTCTGTTTGTCTCCGACATTGAGGAAACAAGTTACATATGCAAAACGAGCTACTTTTTAAGACCCTGTAGCTTGGTAACATAATTATTGGTCACGGAATCTGTTCCATTGGCCATTTTGTGACAAGCTGTTTTTCTGTTTTATTATCTACTGTGGATGGATCATGCTGAGGAATTACAAATAATTGTTTTCTATAAGATAGAATTAATGGTTTGGGCTTTATTCTTATTGTATTTGAGTATCAGATGAATTATTCGCTCTCATATATGTTTCACTAATGAAAATTGCCTACTTGTTGATAGAGTGGCCTATGATGTATACAAGGGAACTTTTACTGATGTTCTTCAGTGGAATGCCTCACAGTAGCCTCTAGTTATTCCATTGCCCTAACCCATGGGTTTTTTCCTCAACACAGTGACCTAGAATCTCAGTTTAGTCCCTTAGTCTTTCCTTTTTTTCCTACTTACTTTGTTCTAGTCATTAAAAACAATATTCTCAGTCACTTGTTTATAATGCAAAATCTATCTATGATAAAATGTATGCATATATATATATATATATATATATATATATATATATATATATATATATATATATATATATAGTAGCGGCCTGGTGCACAAAATTCGTGCATGGGTAGGGTCCCTAGGCCTGGCCAGTGATCAGGACCAATCAGGTTTCCCGCCTCCCTGCCTCCTTCCCTTGCCGCCACCGCACAGTTCCCCCTCGCATCCCTGCCTCCTCCTTCCCTTGCTCCCTCAGCTCCCGCTGCCGCCTCTGGTCACCTACCATGTTCCACGCTGCCCCCTGATGGTCAGCGCACATCATAGCAAGCATTCAAAGTCCTGTTCTCCCAGTCGAACTCCTGAGGGGACACTTTGCATATTAACCTTTTGTGTATATATATAGATAGGAAGTTAGAAGGAACCAACTTAATCAAGCTTCTAATCAGCCAAGTGAGTTTATTTCTTTTAGTTTTCTCTTGTTTTGCACTAATTCTAGTGTGTTATCCTTTTTAAACCTTTCTTCTAATAAGATAATCAGAGTTACAAGCTCCAAATTATAGATCAAAACTACCTTCTCCAGAAAAGTCATATTCAGTGTCCATATATCACATACTTTGCGATGTTATCTTTCTTTATCCTGATGACATTCTTGTAAGCCTTCTTTTATTTTTTCATTGCTTACTTATTCCTTCATTTATACAGATTGGCCTCTAATCTTTATAAAAATAATATTATTAAAAAAATAATAAAGGAGTTTCCACTATGTATCTGTTAAATAGTCACATACTTAAGATGAAGTTTGCCTATTGTGAAAAGGTTGTCTTTACAATACTCATAACTTTTGACATCAGTTGTCTACTTGCAAATGGTTAGATGAAATGTGCCCAAATGCAGAGAAAAAGAAATTAAATATCACTTTTACTGTGAGCTCATTATGATCTCTTTAAGGCTGAGACCTTGTTGCTCACTGGATTTCTAATACTTCTGGAATTTTTGCTGTATATAGTAGATGTGAATTAAATAATCTGAGTGAATGAACAATACAGATATCAAGAACCAAGTAGGCAAGACAACAGGTGTTACTGATTTCTTCATCTGAAATTAGTTCTAACCTAGGGAAGGAACTGCTTCCCTATAGATAAAGAGGTCAGTTTTACAAACCTAAAACAGGACATATTTGACAAGTACAAATGTACATAGAAAAAGTGGGCTATATTGTCACCAGAATATATTATGGTATATTCAGCTCTGGCAAAGTGAAATAAAAGGTCCTACTTAATTTTCTGTAGATGAGGAACAAAAGATTACTTCTCAGCCTAGAAAATGATTTTGTTCAGGAAAT